ACCTAGCAGCGATGGCCTCCAACCTAGCAGTGATGGCCTCCAACCTACTAGCAAAACAAACAAAGCTAGATTGAGCTCTCCGGTTCATGTCTAACGTGTGTCATCGTTTAAACGTTCTTTCATCCTATCCAGGACTTGGGGCGAGATGCTGCTACCATTCGGATTGTAGCCCACTGGAGCGAGCAGGGTAGACTGCACAACAAGGCTCTTCAGGTTCTTATTCATCACCAAGGCATCTGACAGGTCCAAATGAGGGTTTCGCTGCTTGATCGAGTCCAATCGCTTATCACCTGCACTGCAAGAGCTTCAACCGTGGCCTGTCCTTGTGTTGCATCACCAGTACTCAGATTATCTCAACTAAGGCAGCCCAAAACCGTAACTGTCACGGCAACTAAAAATGTGAACTAAAAATGCGACAGGCACTTGTTGTCCACACTTGATTTTTGTTGCTGTTGCTGCAGAGCCCATTTGGAAGCTCACCGTTCAGGCCGAAAGGACATAGGAAGTTCCCACCAAGTGCAACTTCAAACAACTTATGAGGAGGCACGGCGAAAATGGGTTGGGCAGCAACGGCTACAAACGGTGTCAAATCAGAGGCAGCTCGCTCCAAGATCTTTCCATTTGGAGTCTTCAGCTTCTTCAGAGTAAGTCTGTTCAAAGAATTTGCAGTGTCTTTTCCAAGAAGGTCCTGCGCTAAAAGCGGAGTCACGGCCACTTGAGATTCTTCAAAAATAACACCCCCTGCACAATTTTGGTCGGGTGGTTTGTGGGTATGGAAACCAGTCTATGGATATGAACTGGTGCTTTTTTGAAACAAGCGCTCGCCCAAGCAAACTCAAGGCACCCACCCGCACGTCAAATCGATGTCTGTTTCCTCCAGAGTTGTGAGCGATTCCAAAGTGCTATAAGTGCTATGGGCAATCAAACATTTGTTGGTTCACTTCTCCGGTTTTCCAGAAACACAAGCGTCTCGCTCGCGCAAGTAACATCATGCCACTGCTGCAAACGCAAGGATGTGCAAACATCTCTTCACTAACAATAACATAATCGCCCACACATGCTTGATCTTGTGAGATGTGAGCGCGTACACTCACTTGCAGCGCTGAGTATCGTCTCATATGGAGGCACTATATAGCCACAACAACTAGAGAAAACAGGTAACAAGTTCATTGTAATGAGGAGTTAAAAACACAACACTTACCTGAAAAAACAACACGGTTCTTGACAAACCAAACGTGCACTAGCATACTGTGCACTTGTTCGCGCAGCACCTCGTGAAAAGCATGCACAGCAAGTGCATGTGTACGTGTGCATTGTCTGCGGTCACACGATCTTGGCTGTCGCTTCCCCGGAGTCTCCCGTTCAAGCGGATATTGAGGGATCCGGCGCACAACCGGCGAAAGAGCAAAGCATCCACCGAGATCTGGGGCATTCTTTTTGCGCGCGTTGTTCGTCGCGTTGTTCTTTCACATACCGAAAATCGAGGGCGCGCTGTAGAAACACAATGACATGCAATCCAATAGTTGTTACACAAAGCTACACAAACAGATTCAATATCCAAGCAAGATGTATGTTCCATAGACCACGAAGCACATAAGAAATCGGACAAAGAATGAAAAGGATAAAAGTCTGTACAAGTGACAACAACAAATTATCACCAAACTAGACAAATAATGCAATTAAGACCGAACGAAGGCATAATTTATACACGAAAGGTACAATCTATTCCGCAGCAGGGGGCATGAGTTCTTGCGATTGATTTCTCAGCGCCAAATCTGCAAAAGATCGAAACGGTCATCACGCGATCATTACATACCCAGTATCTACGGCCCGTTGTTTTTGAGAGTGATTTGAAACATTGAAACTTGCAAAACCTCCTCCTCGCCCATCTGGGCCTTTTTCGAAAGACACCCACTCCTTCATAATTGCAATTTAAAAAAAGAGCTTTTCCTCAGATGTGTTTCTTTTTGAAGAATTTTTCCCCAAACAGTTTACTGTTAGGGGTTCTCAATTCTTTCTTAAGGTGTGTCCGCCCTTTGTGTCACTGCTGGTGTCCGCCCTTTTCCGTTGGCCATGTAGCATTTCTATTCATTTGTCTCCCAGTCTGTCACTGGCGCTGTCCGCCCTTTTCCGCTGGCCATGCAGCACTTCTATTCATATGTCTCCCAGGTCTGTCACGGGTGGTGTCCGCCCTTTTCCGCTGGCGATGCAACATTTCTATTCATTTGTCTCCCAGGTCTGTAAGAGGTGGTGTCCGCCCTTTTCCGCTTGGCATGTAGCAATACTATCTATTTTTGTCTCCGGTCTTGTCTCCCTTCTTGTGGGTCATTGTGTCCATCTTGTCTCCCTTCTTTTGCTTTTGTCTTCCTTCTGTGTCTTCCTTCTTGTCTCCCTTCTTGTTGATCATTGTGTCTGCTTGTCTCCCTTCTGTTATCTTTTGTCTCCCTTTTTGTTTCCCTTGTTGGTCATTGTGTCCGCCTTGTCTTCCTTGTTGTCTCCCTTTGCTTCCGGTCTTGTCTCCCTTCTTGTGGATCACCGTGTCCGCCTTGTCTCCCTTCTGTTTTCTTTTTGTCGCCTTAGACAAGGCTATTTCTTGTTGCTACAAGGATCTCCCATGGCATGCCTTTTGTTTCCCTTCTTGTCGGTCATTGCGTCCGTCTTGTCTCCCTTTTTTCCTTGTGTCTGCCTTCTTGTCTTCCTTCATTGCGTCCGCATTGTCTCCCTTCTGTCTCCCTTTGTCTCCGGTCTTGTCTCCCTTCCTGGTGGTCACTGTGTCCGTCTTGTCTCCCTTCTGTTTCCATTTGGCTCCC